ATACAAAAAGCACCGTTACTAATTGGATAAATTGAAGTGATGTTTTAAAAAGTCCCATCTCTGTTCTCAAGCTCTATTAAATAAACTTACACTGGACAAGGTGACGTTGAGCACGCTCACTCTGGACAAAGCTGCCAACGTAAAAGAAGAATGTAACTGACGTTAACAATGCAAAACTGAAAAGCACGAAGGTCCAGTCATGTTCTCTGTCCTTCACCTTGTCTTCCGAGCATTTCCACACGTTGTGCCACAGATTCATTGAATCATTCATCTAAAGTAGTACTTGATGAGGACTAGCTAAAAAGATATTTGTTTGAATATTGAAAACTTTTTTTTCATTGATAAATAACACAGGTGGAAAAGCAGTACGGTGTGATGAAACGAACACTTAGAATCAAACCAACAAAAAAGCTTAAATAAAGAACACTACTTCTCAGCGTACCAAAAAGCAGTAAGAAAACCAAAATAACCGTTGTTTCCACATCCAGACAGAAGTCCAAATCAGGTTTCATATAGCTGTCCCAGTAATAGTCAAACAGCGCATCAAAAACAGTGAGGCAGTTCTTACAAACCGCAGAATAATTCGTGGCAAAATCAAATCCTTCTTCTACTGAGTAATTAGCAATGCAATACCTCCACGCCAACAGTTTTGTTTGAAAAACGAAGGTGTTTTGAATAAATGAATAGCTCGTGTTCCCATTCTTGAAATCCCAATCGATACTGATACAAGCTGGATTTACATCAATTCAAAGAGAAGGAAAACTAAGAACCGAAACTAAAATAAGTAAACTACAGACTAAAAGAACCTAAAAGCCAGCCTTCCCAGCGGCATAATATCTAGAAAAATATTATGAGAAGATAAAACTGATAAGCAATCCATAATTCCTTAGTGGCAGAAAAAATCACCATGACACCGCGAAGCATCCCATATTTTCTTTGCTACTGTCGATGAAACCACATGCGTGTATGACACCATATAATTTGAGTAGATTACTTTAGAACAAGGACTACCATCCAAAGAAGTAACATTATCCTAAATTTTCAAATAAAAGAATTGTTGTTTAAAACGAAAAAGTATTATGACCGAGAAAATTTTCGGCAAATATATAGGTAAAAAAATTTTACCACACAATCATCTCGCAAAAGGACTACCAATATAAAAAAA